GGGATGACAGCAGCTGATAGACAGGTCCAATCTCAGAAGCAAGTTGCTGGAAGACTGGTCAGGTAAGCCTGCACTTTCCCACACATGGTGCTCTATAATGTATTGCTGGGATTTGTATTACTCTATAGCTGATGGTACATTGTGCTGTATATTATACCATCAGCTATAGAGGAATACAAATCCCAGCAATACATTGTACACTGTATGTATAATATATTGCTGGGACTTGTTGTACCCCTATATAGCTGGTGGTATTCTGCACTGCGCTGTATAGAGGACTACAAATCATGGAATAATACATTATACAGCGCAATGCGGAATACCACCAGCTATAGAGGAGTACAACAAATCCCAGCAATAGTACATTATACAGTCGTGCAATGCCAAATACCACTAGCTATGGAGGACTACAACACCCAGCAATAATATATTATACATCGCAATGCAGAATACCACCAGCTATAGAGGACTACAAAACCCAGCAATAATACATTATATACAGCGCAATGCAGAATACCGCCAGCTATAGTGTACTATTGCTGGGATTTGTTGTATTCCTCTATAGCTGGTGGTATTCTAAATTGTGCTGTATAATGTACTATTGCTGGATTTTGGAGTCCTCTATAGCCCGTGCCATTCTTCCTTGATTGCTGTATCATTTTACACTTTTTTTTTTTCTTTTTTACTTCCACCGCTCCAAGCTTGCTCCTATGATGGACTGCAATCTCTATACAAACTAGTAGTCCCATCACTGGATCAATTTTTTAAAATGTATTTTATTTTTTATCCGATTAACCGATTAATCGAACTTGATAATCGGCTAACTAATCGATTTTGAAAATAATCGTTAGCTGCAGCTCTAACAGGATCCTTCCCTAGGGAATCCCTGGAAGTCACAATTATCACCATCCCTAAACACCACAAACCCACAGATGACCCTGCGAATTTTAGGCCTATCTCATTACTAAACACGGATATTAAGATCTATGCGAAGCTTATTGCTAACCGCCTCCTGCGGGTTCTCCCTGATCTAATCCACTCTGACCAAGTGGGCTTTGTCTACGGGCGGCAAGCGCCAGACGGCACCATACGTATGGTTGATCTATTGCAATTTTTAGAACACTCTAAGAAACCTTCTCTGCTCCTCTCTTTGGATGCAGAGAAGGCTTTCGATAGGGTGCATTGGGAATATCTTCGGGCCGTGTTGTTGAAATTTGGTATTACAGGTTTTTTGGGCTCTGCTATTGAAGCCCTACTTTCACATCCCAGTGCGAGAGTAGGAACTCTGGGCTCTTGTCCGCTCCATTTCATATTACCAATGGTACGCGACAGGGATGTCCAGTCCATGCTGATCTTCGCATTGGTCATGGAGCCTCTGAAAACTTCACAATGTCTAAGCCACTGGGAATCCCAACAGAAACTATTGCATAAATGGTACTACACGCCACAGAAACTGGCAAAAATCTACCCCTCCTCCTCACCACTCTGCTGGCGGAGCTGTGGAATTGTGGGATCATTGACACACATCTGGTGGTATTGCCCATCCCATGGCCCCTTTTGGCCTGAGGTTTTTCAGCTTATCTCCACAATTACTCAGCTCCCCTGTGGCGTTTCCCCACAACGTGCCTTGTTAGGGGTAGGGTTGGAAGAGTGGCCACCAGCTTCCAGGACTGTTGTGTCTCATGTCCTCATAGCGGCCCGTCTCGCATTAGCGAGAGCGTGGAAACAATCAGAACCCCCCTCCTTAAACACAGTCATACAGATTCTAAACACGCATGCACATTTTGAATTTCTGTTCGCCAAGGCTAACCGTAGACGCCATACTTTCACCTCGCGTTGGGCCTGCTGGTTGACAGACACCAGATGCTTGACACATATCACATGATGATTACCAGACCCGCATTCCCTCATTAGTAGAGATGCTCTCCACACGCTCTAATTTTTACTTATTAAATTTTAAAAAAATAAATTAAAACACAAAAACATTGTTCATCCTCTCTGTATCACTGAGACTTTTAGATGCCTCTCCCTGTGTAAGACTTTTTGTTTTTCTTTTTAGTTTCTGGCCATTCCAACTGATCGATGTTGTAATATTTCCATGCACTGCTCATACCAACTCTGTACTTCATCTGCTGTACATGATACCTTTTGTATTGTTGTCCAATTTGTGCCCTGCCTTACGCATCTTGATTGTATACACCTATGAATTTGGGCATTGCCCTTCCTGTACTGTTGTATTGTTTTTGTCTTTGCTGCTATGATAAAAACTCAATAAATTCTTTGTTAAAAAAAATAAATAACATTTGGATGCTACTTACGGGCTGCGGCTGTTCTGCAATGCAGCAGTTGAAACACAACCAAAATTCACTCATTGCTAATAGTCCAATAACTAGCGTGGGGTCAAAGTGGTGACAGTCTCGCTGCACACAGTCCACCGGCCAGTGGTGTTCTACAGTTATGGAAATCCAATAAATATACAAGTCCTTGATGCAAATGTCAGGTGCTCAGAGAAGGTATATCCACAAAGGGTGATGCCTGCATTGAAGGAAGCACGTTGCCGCCTAGTCAGATGAAAATCTGAAAAAGAATGAAAAAAAAAAAAAGACACATTTATTAACATTTCTAACATATTTATTTCAAGAAAAAACTCCCTTGAGCTCCATTTGCATTTAAACTGATCACATGCAACACCTGTACATTTTCATTTAATATTATACACTGTTCTGTAATGGTAGCAGTACCTCTATGTCTCTACAATTCATATACATGTAGAAGGATAAAAAAACTAAGAAGAAGCCATTGATACTCCTCAGCTTGTCATACATCTCAATAGGTACACATAGCATGACTTCCCATTGCCTTCCAATGATCTGTAAAAAAAAGTGTTCCAGTCACAAATGTTCTTAACGCTTGCAGTGAGGCTCAATCACGTCGTCCAGCAATGCCCACGCCGCTGCCATCGAAACTTAAAAAAAACCTGACACCCGATAACCACACATAATGAACTCCTGTTCCAAAATGAAATTTTGAAAGATGCTGGCTGAATGACAACAAATGGGCGGAGTCAGCTGTGACATCACAGCTGGATCCGGCCATTTGTTGTCCTGCAAATGACAGGCCACTGTCCACAGCCTGAACCGAAGGGCTCCGGCGGCCGAAGTATTAGCCGAAAATTCGGCTTAATCCTTTTGCTCAATAATGAATGACCCCCTTCATATTTTCTAAAAGTAGAGGTCCTGTAGAATAACAAGATGGTAGATGCATTTTTTTTTTAATGTCACACAATATTTTGCACAACCGATTATCAAATTGATATATTAAGTATGCACTAAAATAGTAATAAAATTAGTGTACACAAATGCAATACAATCCCAGATGTATTGTACAATAAAACCAAAATGAGACTCTGTCAAGTAAATTGATACCAAATATGTCAGTCCTCAGATCTGTGTGTGTTTGCGGAATGGTGAAAAACTATGGTACCAAAAATTATCAATAGGCGACCTTTGGGTTTTTAAAATTTTTATTTTTATGTGGGCCAGACTTGCTTAAAAAAAAAAGTTATTTTATCCTAATTTTTTTTATTTCCACGCTCTCAAGTGGTATCCAGTCCAGAAGCCTGCCCCCCTCTTTACAGTCGTGCCCGCACCTACCTCGGTCCATAGACACACACAACGTGCGGCCGGCCATGACCCCACCCTTGCAGTCATAACTTGATTGACAGCAGAAGGAACCTATGAGGAGACAAGCGGCTGCAGTTAAGTGTGGGGGGGACAGAGGAGTTAAAAAAAGTGCTGGGTGCTTTTTCCCTTGATTCAGAGAATGCATTAGGCAAAAAACATCCAGCCTTTAATACTACTTTAACAGTAAATAAGGGACCTAGAGTTATTTCCCTTATTCTGCTGAGTGTGGTGATATGTGTTGCACAATTGTCACATACACGTGTGTGTTTGCATTTGCATATGCTTAGACATTCTGTCATTCAGCTCCCTCCAGTGACCTAACCCCCTGGGGCTGCCTAGATCAATTTGTCTCTGGCTATTAAAGTGTTTTGGGTCATCATTAGCGACTGCATCGAGGATATTGTTTGCATTCAGACAAATACTTTCTGGATGTGCAGCAAGATTAACATTGATCAGCACTATAGTGCAGGAAGCATTGGCTGATTATGTATTGAACAAATGTATAAATATATTTGCAAAGTATAGACAGAAACAATGTTTTTATAACATTGACTGAGTGCACTGATTAGATTATTTACAATAAAGAGACAAGGTCACCGGCCCATTGCCTCCTGATATCCCACTATCCCAGTAAGGGATACTCACAGATTTAAGCTGGGTTAGGTTTTTGTATGAACGTTCATAGGAACAAATCTGGTCAGAACATTTGATAATGCCATCAGAGAATTGACCAATGTCATTTGAAAATTTGTTTCAGTTTAACATTTGATTCTGAAAACCAATCACGGTTATAATTTTGTTTGTTCAAGAAAACCAGTTCAAGTTTCCATCCTGCACCTTCGTTTTGTTTTTGTAACTACGGTCAAAAATCGATCTCCTATTTGACACCATTAACTATTAGAAAATCAAACAAATGCTCCCAAAATGTATTTTTAGAACAAAATTCTACTAGTGTATGGCCAGCTTTTTGCTCACTCACTGCAGGAGGGTAGGTTCAGGTGTTGGATGGTGCTTTTGTTGAGACGTAAGTTATAGTTTAAAGTGATATTAAATCAAAAGGTTTTTAAGATATCTCAAATGCTGATGAAATCGCTTAGAATGGATACTGCTCCTTGATATTTAACCCTTTCGCTGCCAAGCCCTCTGAAACGTTTTACACCTTAGCTGGCCACACCATTTTTGCAATTTTTCCCATTGTTTTGATGTGCTACTGCTGCGTTGCTAGCGTTTGTAAAAGACCCCCCAAACCATATATTTTCTGACAGCACAGGCCCGGTAAAATAAAAAGATGGTGCTATTGAATTTGTAGGCCCTGCAATAATTGTGAAAATGTTTGTCAAATCAATATGAAACCGATAAAAATACATAATTCAATTGATAAAGCACACTAAAACCAGTATCAGTGCACAAAAAAAAAAAATTCGGACTTAGGCCCCGTTCACATTGAGCGATTTATCGTGCGGTAATTCCCGCGATATCGCGGCTATTTAGCGCGCGATATCGCTCTTCAATGCAACTCAATGGGGCAAAGGGTCCTGCTGTCGCGGGTCGTGTGTCGCTACAGCAGGACCCTTTTTGGAGCGGATTTTGCCACGATTCTCGCTTGCTCAATGCAAGCATTTGCGCAATATTGCGCAAAATGCAAATCGCGCGCGAAACGTGCAATGTGAACGGGGCCTAAATCTAAAAGATAAAAAACTGTATTGAGTTAATAAATAACTAAATATTTGTAAATTTAAAATGTCGCCTTTTTGCGAAACGGTAAACAAATGAAGGAACACAAAACTGTAAATAAGCGACTTATTGTCAGCCGCTGATGACAGCTATTAATTTAAAAGGGACCCTCAGTTGTAATATAAGTTTAGCGAACATGAGCATATAACAGTACAGGAAATGCCACCGGCGTAAGGCATACTGACGTGGCAGGCTGGGAACAGTTTTGTTCCGCAGTATGCCATACGTCGGTGGCAGGGAAAGGGTTAAAAGTTTTAGCTTCCTGAAGAATCATCTGGTCCCCTGTGTCCTGGCCCTGATATCCTGTTTTAGGGTGACTTGATTTTTATTTTAAATAATATGCCAACACATCTGGTGTGAATAGAGCTTAAGGATTTATTACTACTTTTAAGTACATTATGTTAGCACTAGTTCAAGTCAACCAATTACAGACCAGCATGAATGCACTGATCTGCTGGGAATGGATCAGTTTTTATTGGTAACCACATAACATTGCTTTTAAATACAAAAAAATTTGATATTTGCTTTTTCTGAATGCTTAGAGTTGTACTAAGGTGAGAAAGCCATGTTTTTTATTTGAAGTGTCACAGGTAATCATCAACCTGCTGGACTGAGAGAACATTTGCTGTCACCGAGATGAATCGGTGTTCCAAGCCTGCTTCATTTCTATGCATGAGGCACAAGCATCGTACAGTAACAGCAGGCTGCACAACCTGATCTAACCTCATTCTCCCAGCCAAGAATTCCCCCAACAGCCAGCTGCTGCATCTCACAAGATGAAATACCAAAGCTAAAATCAATTGAACGTCCCCGAGGAAAATTCCTTCCTAATTCTCCCATGTGATATGCTCTTACTGTGCAAACAGCAGCTTAAAACCTCTCAGCCAGTAGCTCAGGAAGAGCACCCTGGTATTACATGATAGGATAATTGAAGAGCGGGTAGCAGCCATTTTATTTGCTAACCAGTATTAAGATAACCAATTCACTAGGAACTAGATGCACTCAGACCTGAGCCAGAGGGCTAGTTCACGCCATAACTGCATTAGAAATGCGTGCGTCTGCGCAGCTGCAGTGCGATGCGTTTTAATGCTTTTTTATTTAGCTTAAAATGGGTTTTCAGGTGGGTTCCAGTGCGTTTCCATGTGTTCTGTTGCGATCAGGTGCAACTAAAATGTGGCAAGCAGTATTTTTTCTGACTGCATCGAAACTGACTGCACTAATGTGAACAGAGCACCAGAAATCCCATAGGAAAGCATTGTGAAGCAAATTTGATGCAGCTGCCAAACTGAACGGACTGCATCACAACTGCATCTGGTGTGAACTAGCCCAGAATGTCTCACACAAAAATGTTGTCACCACTTCTGAGTAAATTAATAAGCAGTGAGACAAGCTTACTATGAAATTGCAGATTGCTTTATAAATCCCCCCTCTACTAAAGTGTAGCACTGCTTTAATGCAAAGCACATCCCTGTCCACTTCTTATGTATGCCTGTTAAAAGTGAAAACTGTTGCAAATAAAATGTTAACTTTTTTGCATATTATTGCCCAGTACTGTACTTCAAATCCACAAGTAGCAAATCATTTACTAAATGATATGCAGCCTGTTTTGTACTAGACAGGCACCAGATTCTGTTGGTACCCTTGGTTGGTAAAATGCCTGTCTTTTTGTTTCCTTTTCTGATACAGACATCCTGCAGTGGCAGAAACGTCTGCCCGGGGACCCAGCTCTAGCCATCTAGCCTCCTGGGGACCCAGCTCTGGCCCACTAGCCTCCTGGGGACCCAGCTCTGGCCAACTAGCTCCTGGGGACCCAGCTCTGGCCAACTAGCCTGCTGGGGACCCAGCTCTGGCCAACTAGCCTGCTGGGGACCCAGCTCTGGCCAACTAGCCTCCTGGAGACCCAGCTCTGGCCAACTAGCCTCCTGGAGACCCAGCTCTAGCCAACTAGCCTGCTGGGGACCCAGCTCTGGCCAACTAGCCTGCTGGGGACCCAGCTCTGGCCAACTAGCCTGCTGGGGACCCAGCTCTGGCCAACTAGCCTGCTGGGGACCCAGCTCTGGCCAACTAGCCTCCTGGAGACCCAGCTCTAGCCAACTAGCCTGCTGGGGACCCAGCTCTGGCCAACTAGCCTGCTGGAGACCCAACTCTGGCCAACTAG